CACTCACTCACTGCTGTCAAGTCGGATCAAACTCATAGTGGCCCCTTCTTGGATTTCTGAGGTGGTATCACTATGGATGTAGATTGCCCAATCTTCCTTTTGGGATCTTAAAAGCTTGCAAGAGGCCATCTAGTTGTAACAATGGGGCTCTCCTCCTCCAGAGCAAAGAAGAATGAAGAAAACCAAAGACACATGGAAACAATTAGTACAAATGACTGGTACACCATGAGATCCTCAGCCCATATGACTTTGACCAGAAGAAATAGATAGTGCCTGGCTACCATTGTCAACCACTCAGAGGCAGATCTATGTAGGAGATCCTGGATAGAGAGGGAGAACAATGCGGAACAAAACTGAAAATCATTAAAAAAAAAAAAGGCCAGGTTTGCTGGTCTGATAGAACCTGGTGGAACCCCTGAGACTATGGCCCCTGGCTGCCCTTCAGATCTGGATTTGAACCCACTCTCGTGGCTTCCAGCCAAACAAGAGACAGGCATATGAGCTTAACACTTACATTAGTAAGTAAGAAGTAGATACATTCTTGTTGTTGCTATGTGCCATCAAGTCGGACCTGACTCATAGTGACCCCTTCTTGGGTTTCCCAGGCAGTATCACTATGGAAGTAGACTGCCCCATCTTCCTTCCAAGGAGTGGCTGGTGGGTTTGAACCACCAGCCTTCTGGTTAGCAGTCAAGTGCCTTAGGCCACATGCTACCAGAGCTCCTAGATATACTCCTTGGAGAAATCAGTCATGGGAGAATATGTACACAAGGAGACAGCTCGGAGGGTAGGAGCGCATGGGAGGGAAGGACACAAGGAAAAGGTAACAATGGGGAGGAAGTGGGAAGGGTGCTGTTGCATGATGGGAAATTGCAGTCAATGTCATGAGACAAAGTGTGTGTGAGCTGCTGTATGGAAAATGAATCTGCTCTGTAAACTTTCACCTAAATCACAATAAAAATTAAAAAAGAAAAACTATAGAGATAGTAAAAAGATCAGATCAGTGGTTACCAATAGTTCAAGGGGAGGGGCTGAGGAGTCATAACAGATAGAACACAGGGCATTTTTAGGGCAATGAAAGTGTTCTGATAATCTTGCAATGGTAGACACACAACATTATACATTTATCAAAACCCACTTAACTACAGAACACAAAAAGTGAACCCTACTATAAACTATGGACATTAGTTATTAATAATGTATCAATACTGATTGAGCAATGTAACAAATATAACACAGCAATGCAAGATATTAATAACAGGAAAAACAGTGTACAGGGAAGAGGGGAGTATATGAGAGCTCTCTGTACTTTTTGCACAATTTTTCCGTAAAATTGCTGTAAAAACCAAAGACTGTATTCTAAATACCAATAGGCATTTTAAATAAATGAAAGACACAATTTTTAAAATCACATAACACTCTTTAAAAAGTACACTTTTCTTTAAACTATTGGAGACCATCTTCAAAACAAAAGCATTATTTCTGCATATGATACTTCAGCATACTGAAATTATTCTCATTAAAGACACCAAAGAGCTTATCAAATTCTTTCTTTCATCTTTATTTTTACTTCTTGACATCTCTCTAACCCAGGACACAGTGAGTAACAATGTTTCAATTTCTTTGGACTCCTCACTGCATAGGACAGTGCCTGAGTCATCGTCGTTCGTCCTTA